GCAACATATAAGGAAAACATTCAATTGCCAGCAGAAAAAAAAAACAGTACATCAAGACAAATACATAGACAATATGAAGAAAACCAACCTAATTTAACTTAATAAACAAAATAACAAAAAGATCCTACTGAAACACACTAAAAATAAAAAATTTTAAAACCAATTGCATTATAGCACCATCAGTCAAGTTTCAGCAAACCAGTGGTCAGGAATACAAAATGGATGTGGTCAACTATAAAAGGGCTGGGCAAGGAATAGTGCAAACAGTGTATCATAAAGCCAGGGACATGTATGAAGTCCATAACAGAATAGTATCTGGTGACCTAGGGACTGGGCCTACAGACTAACCATTCTTGAAAAGTTGTTGGAACATCCAGGTTTTCAAATCCCTACAAAAGGAGGAAAATGTGGAGGATTGTCTAATCTCCCTGGAGAGGGTGTTCCAAAGATGGTGGGCCAACACCAAGAAGGCCCTTTCCCTCGTCCCCACCAACTGTGCTTGTGACAATAGTGAAAATGAGGGGAGGGCCTCCCTGACAGATCTTTTGTTAGTTTTTAAAAATTAAAAAGCCATTTTAACTAACATATACTTACCAGTATTTTAATGGGAAGTGTGGACTTGCTTTTGACTGATGTGATAGTCAGGTTTGTTGTTGTGTGCCTTCAAGTCATTTCAGATTTACAATGGCCCTAACTCTAAAGTTTAGGGCAGGGGGCTGAATAAATGACCTTGGAGAGCTGCATCCAACCTGTGGGCCTTAAGTTTAGGGACCCCTGAGCTAGAACACAGGATAGAACTCATTGGGTGTGAGGGACAATATCTGCAAAGAGAGGCTTGGTTTGTTATCCTTGATTTGATTACAAATTAAGGTACTGTTACATTATCCAGGAAGAGGTCAAAAGGGGGGCACTAGACAGAGAAAGAAGTCCCATTTTATGGGGGGGGGGGTTGAAGGAAGAAAACAGTAGATTGCTTATATATTTCATAATATTTCAAAATTTAAGGCGAAGGGGTTTTATGTGCATATGTATTTATTTATTTATTTATTTTACACACTTGTACCCCATCCTTCTCACCCCCTTGGGGGGACTCAGGGTGGCCTTATAGCAAGCACCATTCAATGCCATCACAATCATGAAAACATTCAACAAATTCATTAAAACAACATTAAATAAACAGTTGTTAAAAACACGCCAGTTAAAACCAATGTCCGGGTCACTCCATTGTCACTTCAAATTGCTTATGTCTTCTTCTCACTTGCCGCTATTCAATGATCAAATGCTTGGTCCCACAATCAAGTCTTGAGTCAAGGACAGGAGGAAGGTGGCCAATCCGATGTCCCTGGGGAGGGAATTCCACAGGCCACTGCTGAGAAGGCCCCGTTCCTTGTCCCCACCAATCGCATTTTCAACTGTAGTGGGATCGAGAGCAGGGCCTCTCCAGATGATCTCAAACTTTGCGATGGTTCATAACAGGAGATACATTCGGACAGGTAAGCTTGGCCAGAACTGTTTAGGGCTTTAAAGGTTAAAACCAGCACTTTGAATTGTGCTCGGTAGCAGATCGGCATCCAGTGGAGCTGGTGTAACAGAAGAGTTGTATGCTCCCTGTATACCTCTGGTGAGCAACCTGGCTGCTGACCGTTGGATTAATTGAAGCTTCGGGCAGTGTTCAAAGTATACATGTGAGACTAATGATCCTCAGGGTTTGAAAGGAAATGAATGTACTTAGAGTGGTTTGAGTAAAGTATCTGATTGAAACAGTAGTAACAGCTAAGATACAATTACAACCAAAACCCAAGAATAGTACAAAACTGAAGGACTTGATGCATGTGTTTTCTATCCAAGACCAAGATTATATGCACGTCTGTATGTGCCTTATCTTCCATCAACTTAACCTCATAAATTTCATTATTATATCTTATTCATGGAATACTCAGTGATGTTTAGTTTGCTCTTTCCTCTGAAATATAGCCCACAGCAATTGGTAATTGTTGGCAGTCTCCCATCTAATCACTGACAAGAGCTGACCCTGCTTAACTTCCAAGATCAAATGCAATCTAGTGCTTTTGGGTGTTTAGTGCTTTTAGGAGATGTACCTGCTCAAAATCATTCCTAAGAAAATAAATATTGGAACCACAAAGTCCAAAGATATTTTGCAGGACAAATTATTTGCATGAAAAAGCACTCTCCAATGGATTGAAGGCTTGGCGCACAAATACAAGGAGCTGTTATCCTTTCCTTGTAGAGAATTAAATTCTTGAATAGAATCATAGCATTGGAAGAGACCTCATGGGCCATCCAATCCAACTCATTGCCAAGAAACAGGTAAATCGCATTCAAAGCACCTCTGATAGATTGCCATCCAGCCTCTGCTTAAAAGCCTCTAAAGAAGGGCTTGTTCTCCAGACCCTTGATCATTTTAGTTGCCCTCCTCTGGACACATTTCAGCTTGTCAACATCTTCCTTAAATTGTGGTGCCCAGAATTGGACACAGCATTCCAAGTGTGGTTTGACCAAGGCAGAATAGAGGGGTAGCATGACTTCCTGGATCTAGACACTATCCTTTCAAGTTGTAGCATAACTATAGTCTAGTATTGTCGAAGGCTTTCATGGCTGGAATCACTGGGTTGTAAGTTTTTCGGGCTGTATGTCCACATTCCAGAAGCATTATCTCCTGACGTTTCACCTGCATCTATGGCAGGCATCCTCTGAGGTTGTGAGGTGTGACAACCTCTGGGGATGCCTGCCATAGATGCTGGTGAAACATCAGGAGAGAATGCTTTTTTTTACAGCCTGAAAAACCTACAACAACCCACTATAGCCTAGTTTCAGTTGTCCCAAAGACATTCTCTTCCACATGTACAATTTTTTTTTTAAAAAATGCTATCTATGGGTAGTCTAGCCTTTAGCTGCACAACTAAACTCCAGTGAGGTAATAGTAAATGAAGTGCAGGTGCTCCTCGGGCCAGCCTCCAAGATGGGAATCCAAATATGCAGGCAGCTGTGCTGATTCACATTCATAAACCCGTCCTGTTTTCCACTCCGTCGGGATAACCATTGATTTGGCAAGTTAATAAGTCTTAAGAGACTGTTAAAGGCAAAACTACATAATAAACAGATACCTCACATCCGTAATGTATTCCTCCAATTCTAAAATGTGCTTTCCCCACATATAAGCATCTCTAAAAATGGGGTGCATCTTATGGAGAATTGTGGGTGCTGTTATATATAGATAGTGCTTTTTTCTGTTGGTGGTACTGAAATTAGCATGTGCCTTACAACCGATGGTGTCCTAGGCCCCTTCCATACACATTGATCTAGATTATATGGGAGCGTGGACTCAGATAATCCAGTTCAAAGTAGATATTGTGAGATATTCCACCTTGATATTATGGGGGCCCTTCCACACAGCCATATAACCCAGAATATCAAGGCAGAAAATCCTACAATATCTGAGTGTGGACTCGGATAACCCAGTTCAAAGCAGATATTGTGGGATTTTCTGCCTTGATATTCTCGGATATAGGGCTGTGTGGAATGGCCCTGAGTTCACACTGCCATATATCCCAGTTCAAAGCAGATAATGTAGGATTTTATACAGCTGTGTTGAAGGGTTCTGAGGGCTGTACCATACAGCCCTATATCCCAGAATATCAAGGCAGATAATCCCACATTATCTGCGTGTGGACTCAGATAACCCAGTTGAAAACAGATATTGTGGGATTTTCTGCCTTGATATTCTGAGATATAGGGGTGTGCGGAAGGACCCTTCTACGCTGTCATGTAATATCCATATCTGCATTGAACTGTATTATATGGCAGTGTTGACTCATATAATCCAGTTCAAAGCAAATCATGTGGATTTTCTGTTTTGGCCAAAGACCCCTTCAACACTTCTATATCATCCAGATTATAAATGCAGATAATCTGGATTTTATATGGCAGTGTAGAAGGAGCCTTTGGGCTCTTCCACACAGCCCAATATCCCTGAATATCAAGGCAGAAAATCCCACAATATCTGCTTTGAACTGGGTTATCTGAGTCCATACTCAGATAATGTGGGATTTCCTGCCTTGATATTCTGGGATATAGGGCTGTGTGCCATATAAAATCCAAATTGTCTGCATATATAATCTGGATGATATGGAAGTGTAGAAGGTGTCTTGAGCCCACACTCAGAGAATGTGAACTGGGTCATCTGCTTTGTACTGGGTTATCTGAGTCCACACGGCCATATATCCCAGTTCAAAGCAGATAATGTGGGATTTTATTTAGCTGTGTGGAAGGGGCCTCTGAAAACCCAGTTCAAAGCAGAAATTGTGGGATTTTCTGCCTTGATATTCTGGGATATAGGGCACTCCATGCAGTTATGCCGGCCACATGACCTTGGAGGTGTCTATGGACAACGCCGGCTCTTCAGTTTAGAAATGGAGATGAGCACCAACCCCCAGAGTCAGACACAACTGGAAAACCTTTACCTTTACCTAGGGCTGTGTGGAAGGGCCCTGAGTTCACACTGCCATATATTCCAGTTCACAGCAGAAAATGTAGGGTTTTATTGCTGTGTTTAAGGGGCCTTAGAATCGAAGATCCATGTTAACACATTGACGGGAGGAATTCTTCCTTTTCTCCCTCTCGCTCCCAGGGAGCTGCCTGCAGAGGGAGGCAGAAGCTGTCATTATCCCTATTACCAAAAGCCGGCTTGCTCCCATCCTGTTATCCTCGAGTCCGCAAAACCCACAAGGCCGGGGCTTGGGTTGGGTCTTCCAGAGACTCATTGTTCACGGATGCCCCCCCCCCCCCACTCCCCATGGTAGGAAGCGTTTCCTACATTTGGCAGGAAGGAAGCCTTGCTAATACTAAGCAGCCTCCGAGGAATTACAACGGACCGCGCTCTCCGCATACTAATTATATGGTCCAAAACGCAGCCTTCCGAGGCGGGGAATTGGAGTGGCTTTAGGACCCAGCGGCGACAGCGGGCTTGTCTCACACTGCACCGGGGGAGGGGGGGGGGCGCTCCGCCTGCCTGGCTTCCCAGCGTTGTGGCTCCTGAATGGAATAGATCAGGGCAAGGCAGGAAGGCAAGCCGGGCTTTCCTTTCAATCCTGAACGGCAGGAGCATCACGGAAAAGGGCTATTGATGAGGATGGGGAGGTTTCTTTAGCCTCGTTGGCGGTGCTTGGCTCTGCCTCGTCCGCGAGGCGATAAAAGAGGAGGAGAAGCAGCGTTCATTTTGGAGCCGGGTTTTCCTTAAGGCGATTGGGATTCAGGCTGGGCTTTGGGAAAAGGGGGCGGGGACACTCCCTCCCTCCCCCTCCCTCTCTGTGCCCCTCCCTCCCTCTCTCTCTCTTTCGGCGTTGCCTTTGGAGGAGAACACCATGACATGACTGAACGGTTCAGCAGGAGCCGCATTTTCAGGCTGGATGGAAGGCTTGCGGAGGAGAAAAAGGAGGCATCCTTGAGCTGCTGAGGAACCAGCCCGCCCGCCTGCCCTTGGTGCGGCCTTTGCAAGCGGAGGGATGCTGCTGCTGCTGCTGCTGCTGCTGAGCTAAAGGGACCCTCGCGCTTCCCAATGGCCAGCCGGCGGAGGAGCCTGGAGCTGGAGCACTTCGAGGAGCGTGACAAGAGGCACCACCACCACCACTCGCACGCCCAGCCCCACTCGCAGGGCCGGGGGCGGCGCGGAGGGGGCGGCGGGGGCAGCTCGACGTGCAGCAGCAGCTCGGGCCCCAAAGGCAACGGGCTGATCCCGAGCCCCGCGCACAGCGCCCACTGCAGCTTCTACCGCACGCGCACCTTGCAGGCCCTGGCCTCGGAGCGCAAGGCCAAGAAGGCGCGCTTCTACCGCAACGGGGACAAGTACTTCAAGGGCCTCGTCTACCCCATCTCCAGCGAGCGCTTCCGCTCCTTCGACGCCCTCCTCGCCGAGCTCACCCGCTCGCTCGCCGACAACGTCCACCTGCCCCAAGGCGTCCGCGCCATCTACACCGCCGACGGAGGGCGCAAGCTCGCCAGCCTCGACGAGCTGGTAGATGGTAAGCGCAGCAGAAGCAGCAGCTCTTCACCGCGGGCTCTCACTTCACCGCTCAGGGCCCTCCCACACAGCCCTATATCCCAGGACCCTTCCACACAGCCCTCTATCCCAGAATATCAAGGCAGGAAAGCCCACATTATCTGAGAGTGGACTTAGGGCCCTTCCACACAGCCCTATATCCCAGGGCTCTTCCGCACAGCCCTATATCTCAGGGCCCTTCCACACAGCCCTCTATCCCAGAATATCAAGGCGGGAAAGCCCACATTATCAGAGTGTGGACTTAGGGCCCTTCCACACAGCCCTATATCCCAGGGCCCTTCCACACAGCCATGTAACCCAGGGCCCATCTATACAACCCTCTATCCCAGAATATCAAGGCAGGAAAGCTCACATTATCTGAATGTGGACTTAGAGCCCTTCCACACAGCACTATATCCCACAATATCAGGGCAAGAAAGCCCACCTTATCAGAGTGTGGACTTAGGGCTCTTCCACACAGCCCTATATCTCAGGGCTTTTCCACACAGCCCTATATCCCAGAATATCAAGGCAGGAAAGCCCACATTATATGAGTGTGGACTCAGGGCCCTTCCACACAGCCCTATATCCCAAAATATCGGCAAGAAAGCCCACATTATCAGAGTGTGGACTTAGGGCCCTTCCACACAGCCCTATATCTCAGGGCTTTTCCACACAGCCCTTTATCCCAGAATATCAAGGCAGAAAAGCTCACATTATCTGAATGTGGACTTAGGGCCCTTCCACACAGCCCTATATCCTAGGACCCTTCCACACATCCCTATATCCCAAAATATCAAGGCAACAAAGCCCACATTATCAGAGTGTGGACTTAGGACCCTTCCACACAGCCCTATCTCTCAGGGCTTTTCCACACAGCCCTATATCCCAGAATATCAAGGCAGGAAAGCCCACATTATCTGAGTGTGGATTCAGGGGCCCTTCCACACAGCCATGTAACCCAGGGCCCATCCTTACAGCCCTATATTCCAAAATATCCAGGCAGGAAAGCTCACATTATCTGAATGTTGACTTAGGGCCCTTCCACACAGCCATGTAATCCAGGGCCCATCCATACAGCCCTATATCCCAAAATATCCAGGCAGGAAAGCTCACATTATCTGAATGTGGACTTAGGGCCCTTCCACACAGCCCTATATCCTAGGACCCTTCCACACATCCTTATATCCCAGAATATCAAGGCAAGAAAGCCCACATTATTAGAGTGTGGACTTAGGGCCCTTCCACACATTATTACATGTAATTGTAATAATAAAACTGTCTATATAACTCACCACCATCTCCCCAACGGGGACTTGGGGCAGCTAACATGTTGCCAAGCCCAAAAATTACAACAAAACAAAATGAAAATACATACAGCAAATAATATCAAATGAAATATAAAGAAGGTAAATTAATACAAAATCAAATACAGGAAATGAAATAAAATAATAAAAAATGTGCACAGCAGACTGGGCCACGTTAAAAGGGTAGAATTAAAATGTAAATATAAAAATCCTAGGTGAGATGGATGAATCAAGGGTAGTGTGCCTGGTGGGGGGATTTCAGCTGGGAACAGCAATGGGGTGAATATCATTGATGGACGAGTGGGCATATAGTGCTGAGCTGGTGATTGTGTGGGCATTGTATTCCTCAAAGGCACACCAAAACAGCCAGGTTTTTAGGCTCTTCGTGAAGGCTGCCAGGGTGGGTTCTTGCCTAATTTCTCCACATAGCATATTCCAAAGCCGAAGGCCACCACAGAGAAGGCTCCCTCCCTCGTTCCCACCAGTCACACTTGCGACAGAGGGGGAAGTGAGAGGAGGGCCTCCTCAAAGAATCAAAGAGGTCATGCAGGTTCATAGAAGGAAATACAGTCGCGAAGGTAGGAGAGTCCCAAACCATTCAGGGCTTTGTAGGTAATAACCTGCACTTTGAATTGGGCCTGGAAAATGAACAGCAGCCAATGGAGCTCCTTAAACAGGGGAGTAGACCCAGGGCCCTTCCACACAGCCCTATATCCCAGAATACCAAGGCAGGAAATCCCACATTTTCTGAATGTGGACTTAGGGCCCTTCCACACAGCCCTATATCCCAGAATATCAAAGCAGAAAATCCCACAATATCTGCATTGAACTGGGTTATCTGAGTCCACACTCAGACAATGTGGGATTTTCCGCCTTGATATTCTGGGATTTAGGGTTGTGTGGAAGGGCCCTAAGTCTACACTGCCATATATTCCAGTTCAAAGCAGATAGAAAAGGTAAAGGTTTCCCCTTGATATTAAGTCTAGTCGTGTCCGACTCTGGGAGATGGTGCTCATCTCCATTTCTAAGCCAAAGAGCTGGTATTGTCCGTAGGTGCCCCCAAGATCATGTAACTGGCATGACTGCATGGAGCGCCATTACCTTCCCACAGAAGCAGTTCCTATTGATCTATTCATATTTGCATGTTTTCAAACTGCTAGGTTGGCAGAAGCTGGGCCTCACAGCGGGAACTCAGTCCACTCCCTGGATTCGAACTGCCAACCTTTTGGTCAGCAATTTCAGCAACTCAGCAGTTCAGCCTGCTGCATGGCCAGAGAGTTACCATATCCCTATTTCAGGCATGGGCCAAACTTCAGCGCTCCGGGTGTTTTGGACTTCAACTCCCACCATTCCTAGCAGTAGGAATGGTGGGAGTTGGAGTCCAAAACACCTGCAGGGCTGAAGTTTGGCCCATGCCTGCAAACATAATGATCACCTTTTGGGGGTTAACTTCCTTTGCCCTTGCACTGTGCATCATTATCATGTGGATACTAACTCATCCTTGAATTAGTCAAAAGCCAGTTCAATGGGCAGGCAATCCCAATGAACTCGGGACCTACAATAACAATAATAATACTTCACTTGTAGCCCACCCTATCTCCCCGGGGGGGACTCAGGGAGGCTTCCAACATAGAGCCTTGGTTCTCAATCTTTTTTTGACCAGGGACCACTTGACCAGGGGTCACTCTCCAACATTAGTACCAAAAGGATTACAAATCCATTTTTGGTCAACTTTAGATTCTGTTTGGGGTTCTGATTCAGAAAATTGCATTGGATGGACCACATCAGCTCTAGTTCCTGATACAGAACATATGCTATGGTCAGCTCCAGAGAAGGAGTGACAGGCACCATGAAGGGAGTGGAAATAAAGCAAATAAAATAAATAAATAAAGAGGGAGGAGGCTCACAGACCAGATTTTCATCCTCGCAGCCCACTGGTGGTCCACGGCCCACAGGTTAAGAATCACTGTAATAAAGACAAACATTCAATGCCTGTATAAAACTGAATGAAAAATAGAAACAGCAAACACTATAATTTATTACACAATGAATTAAAACAAGTAATTTATTTAATTATCATTAAACAATCATTTATGGCATTAAAAGCCAGCTAAGGCAGCATGCCAAATCCATTTCCTTTCAGTTCCATTGATCAGTGTTGCGAGCTTTATTCCTCCTTCTTGTTATATGCTTGAGAGCAGAAGAATGTTTTTGGAAGGCATTCCAAAGTTGAGGGGCAACCACCAAAAAGGCCCCCTTTCTCATTCCAACCAGCCATGCTTGAGACGGGAGTGGGATTGAGAGTAGGGCCTCCTCGGCTAATCGAAAAGTCTAGACAGACTTATACAAGGACATGCACTTGTTCAGCAAAAGTAGTTTTGTGGAAGTCTCTGAGATTTCTGCCTTTCAAAGCTGCCCGATAAAGGACGTTACAAAAAACAAAAGATGACACACCCCAATAGGTTGTAACCTTACTCCTTTACCCACTAAAACTTAGTAAGGTTTCCTCAATGGATAAGTCATTTGAACTGTCTTTCGATAATGTGATGATAGGTTGTGTTTTAGCTACTATTGCCTATTACTTTTACCAATATTAACACACTCATCCTTGTTAAAAGAGGAAAAAAATAAGTGCATGTCAATATTTCAAAAAGAGCAAGTTCAGTGTTTACTCAAATCTAATGCTCACCTATTTTGGCTAGTACACTACCTTGCCAAAATTAGAATGCTCATTAGATTGGCATCATACAGTCATCTTAGTGCTGAGCCAAAGCCAAAGGTGAAGCTGCTTCAGTACCTGCACCTGGAGCTCCTCATTGAGGGATCTCATCTCTGCTTAAATGGCCATGGCTCAATGCTGTGCCATCCTGGGTTTTGTAGCTTGGTGAGGCCTCCACATCCTTCGGCAGAGAAGGCTTAAGGCCTTGTAAAACTAGCCCCCAGGGTCCCATAGTGTTGAGCCAAGGCAATTAAAATGGATTCATTCTATAGCAATACACCCCAAGGTTTTCCTTTCTGTCACTGGAAGGTTTGGTGCCCTAACACTTATGTTTGTAAAGAAAGAATTCTAAGCAGGCAACAAATGTAATGGCGAAATGACAAAGAGTGCACCTTTTGCCGCTGCGCATTACATTCGGCAGCAAATCCTTTTTTTGGTTTCAGGGTTTTGAAATTTGAGGCGTGCATTAGATTCAATGATGCATTAGATTCAAGTAAATACAGGTAATAATCATAGTTTTATTTCTTACCCGCCTTATAACATAGCCAAAAACACATCATCATCAGCAGCATTATATCAAATACATATATTAAAACATCGTTCTGCAAAATATGTATTAAAATGCACAGAACAAAGATTAAGGTATAGAGCACGTAAGGCGTGTGTTTAAAATTCATGATTAAACAGACAAGGTAGACCTGCCAGAAGATAAGCCTAATACTATAATACTCAATGCATAAACCATGTCTTTCCAAACATTTCATGTTGGTGACACACGGTTTAGGCATGCCTCATTTTGTGACACAGGAATTAAATTTTACTAGTAAACCAGAGGTTAAACCAACCCCTTATAAGAGATACCGACACATACATAAATGAATAGGGATTCAACATATCTCATGAAAATCTTTCATTTATATTTTTTAATGTATGATTTATTTTAATTTTTCTTTAAAT